TCATATCCGACTCTGGAATTACATATTTCCGGAGACTGGACAAGGCGCCAAGTTGGAGACCGCCGCTGACACGGAAAGAATGCAGACTACACAGAAGTGCAAGAGAAACAGGGGAAAGTGTACCTTACCTCACTGCTCTATGTGACCACAAATACAGGTCCCCCAAAAATTTAGGGGACCCTTTCCGTGCTGGGCACATCAGTATAAGACCGCCCTGCCAGGAGAAAAAAGAGCCAACCTTCACAGCGAAAGCATATACATTACATTTGAAAAATTTGATACATAATCTGGCAAATTATGATTAACCTCCCTGGCGGTATTCCCGAGTGTAACTCGGGGTAAAGTTTCAGTACCACAAGCGGTAACCCCGAGCTACACTCAATAATACCCTGCAGCGTTGCTCCGGGATCTCTTCTGCACTTACCTTGTCCTTAGCTCCCGCGATGTCCCCCCTGCAGTGTCCCTGGCAATGTCCTCCAGCCGATGCCGCCACCTGTCTTCCGGGTTCCGTTCCCTGCGACATCGGTACGTACGGGGACGGAACTGGCGGGAAATTTGAACATTTTAAAAGTGACATTCACTAAATTCACTAAAATCACATAGTAAAACATTACTGTATCAAACCATTTCACATACATTTTGTCCCGAGTGCTTTGTCCTGTGCCCTGAATGCATTTTTACTGTTCTTTCTGCCTAGAAACTGAGAAACATCCATGGCGTCCAAAAAGCGTCCCTTTAGGTCAAAAGCGGTTTTAGACCAGCTAGAGAACAGCAATAGTAAATTAGAAACCACTTGCAGAATCGAGTGATAATGATTCGTGGGGAACGTTCGGCATCAGACACTGAAAACAATTTTGTGACTTTGCTCAGTGATGTGCGAACTTGGCACTATATTTCAAATTTCAGTGTTTTTGGTTTGATTATATTATTGAATTAAATTTATTATTATTTTATTATTTTTTATGATTATTTATTAAATTATAATTTATGATTTCGTGTTTCAAATTTTAACACACCCGGGATGTTTACTAGACTCTTGTTCGGACAGATTTCAGTGAGTTATTCCTAAAAATTACAGGCCTACAATAAAAAAACGACATATTTCCATGCAAAAAAAACGCTTTGAGCATAGAAATATGGACATAATCAGACCGCTAGGGAGGCTACCTGTTCTGAATAACTATTATTGGGGCAGCACAGTGGCTAAATGGTTAGCACTTCCGCCTGGCAGTACTGGGGTTGCTGGTTCAAATCCCAACCGTGGCACCACCTGCCTGAAGTTTGCATGTTCTCCCTGTGACTGCGTGGGTTTTCTCCGGGTACTCCGGTTTCCTCCCACACTCCAAAGACATGCTGGTAGGTTAATTGGCTCCTGTCTAAATTGGCGCTAGTATGTATATGTATGAATGTGAGTTAGGGACCTTAGATCGTACGCCCCTTGAGGGTTAGGGACTGATGTGAATGTACAATATATATGTAAAGCACTGTGTAAATTGACAGTGCTATATAAGTACCTGAAATAAATAAATACATTAATAAAATAAATTAACTGATTGCCCTAGCAGTACACATAATCTGGAAGTATAGGCTTTATTTATATGCGTTAAGACCTTATTTATTAAAGTGTAAAGTGATATAAAATGCAGTGAAAAGAACATGTATTAATGTCAAAAACCCAGTAATAGGCAAGATCAGTTGTGTTTTATAAAATTCCCCTGTACATGACTGGATGTTTTTGTCCACTTCATTTCATTGCACTTCCGTTCCTTAAGGTCCATGCACACTAGCAAAAATAAATCCACTTCTGCAGGAGTTTTGCATTTTGCATTTAGAAGCAGCTCATTGTCAATCTATGTGTCCATGCACATTAGAAGGTTCAGAGGCATATTTTAGGCTCAGTGTTTAGAGGCAGAAAAAAAACCTTCCTGGTTTGCATTTTTGAGAGGCGTTTTCTAGAAAAAAAAATGCTAAATATGCCTAGTCACTCCTATATGCGCCTAAACATACAAAAATGCATGAGTGTTTTTTCTGCCAAGGGAACTGGCGCATTTTTTAAGCCCAGTGTGCATGGACCCATAAGGGTTTATTTACTAAAACCAGAGGGTGCAAAATCTGGTGCAACTCTGCATGGAAACCAATCGGCTTCCAGGTATTATTGCCAAAGCTTATCCAATTAAGCTGGAACTGGAAATTGATGCAGAGCTGCACCAGGTTTTGCACTCTCCAGTTTTGTAAATCAACCCAGCTGTATATTGACCATTTCCTGTCCTCCCTATAGCAGAAGTATTGCTACATGGCGGCACGGGTGTGTAAAATCACGTATATAATTATACGTGATTTTGCATTTGCGGGTAGGGGGCACACGTCCTACCCATGCCACCACAGCTGTCAATCACCGGGTCCCAGCTGGTGATTATTCGCCGGCACCCGGTGATTTCCAAGCATCTCCGACGAGGGGGAGAATTGTTTATAAACAAAACAGTTCTCTCCCCTGTCAGCTCCTGCACACTGCTTTGCATGGTTGTGCAAAGCAGTGTGCTTACAGTGAAGCACAAATACAGCCCATAGTAAAACAGCACACTGTTAACCCTTTGATTGCTGCACATGTTAACCCTGCCTGCCCAGTGCCATTAGCACAGTGTCAGTGCTTTTATTAGCACTGATCACTATATTTGTCAGACACCACCTGACGGGATCTCTAGTGATCCACAGAACGGGATTCCCCAGGACGTGGAGTCTAAGTCCCAGTCTGCCTTTTCACCAGAGCCCCTGATGGTGGGGATGGACTTGATTCAAGACTGAAACCAGATCGCGATCCCTGAGTGCACCCAACTGTGGTAGAGGGGTCCTGCTGAGGGTATGTGCCAGGGGTGAGCCTGATGTGAAGAGGCTGACAAGTCCAGGTCCCGAGCGGGATGGATGGATGACAGTCAGGAGTGAGCGTGGTCAGACTAGCCGGGTCGGTAACGGTGGAGGCGGGTAGGTACCAAGCAGTAGACAGAGAGTAGCCGGGTCTCAAGCCAAGGTTCAGCAACGGGAGGTCCAATAGTAACATTAACGACAGGCAGAGGAATAGTCAGGGACGAGCCGGGGGTCAGAGCAGGAGAAGGTCAACACAATTCAGGACAAGCAGGATCGGCAACAGGTACACACTTCAGAAACACAGGTACAGGAACTAGACCTTGCGGGAACTTGATCACTGCCTGGCCAGTTTAAATAGTGCGCCCTGCACCGTCATTGGCGCCAGGCGAGCGCCCGCGTGCGCGAGTGCGCATGCACGGCCACACAACTGCTGCCGTAGATGCTTAGGTCCTAGTGCCTGCACATTGGTGCACCTAGGCAATCTGCGCATTCGCAGACCTGTGCGCCTCGGCGAGACCCGCAGTCCCTGACAGTATTGGTGTCACTGGGGATGTCAGTGACACCAAGTGAGTTCCTCCCAGTGTCAGAATGCCCATTGCAGTCCCACTATATGTCGTTGATCACAGCCATTACTAGTAAAAATAAAAAAAAATCCCAATATCTATACCGCCATTTGTAGACGCTATAACTTTCACGTAAACCAATTAATTTACAAGTATTGGGATTTTTTTTTAGCTGCACTCCAAACATTTAATACACCATGGAACGTGGTTATGTACTTAAAACTAACTGTAAAAGTGAGTACCTTAAATTACTCTTGTAATCCCATCTGTAGCAGTGATCAGTCAGGAAAAGGAAAGAGCAGTGTTAGGTGTGCTGTGTGCATATGTGCTGACAAAGAATGTTCTTACAGGAAGAGAGAGCAGAGGGAGGACATTTCAGTATTCTGCTCCTCCTTCACTTTCCAATCTGAAGCTGTAGGCAGGGAGGGGGCCTAGCTTCTTTAACCTTCCTGGCGGTATTCCCGAGTGTAGCTCGGGGTAAAATATCTATACCAAAAGCGGTAACCCCGAGCTACACTCGGGCTTACCATGCAGCACTGCATAGGGATTCCCTGCAGCACTTACCTTGTCCTTCGCTCCCACGATGTGTCCCCTGCAGCGTTCCCGGCCATCTCCTCCGTCTGATGTCGGCATCCGGCTCCTGTGTTCCGGTTCCCGTGACGTCGGGACGTACGGGCGCCGCCGGCGGCGGGAAATTTGAAAATTTTAAAAAAATGTCATTTTTTTCAAAATGATTCTAAATAGTAAAACATTGCTGTTTCAACCTATTTCACATACATTTTATCCCTAGTGCTTTGTCCTGTCCCCTGTCTGCATTTTGATTGTTCTTTCTGCCTGGAAACGTAGAAAAGTCCATGGCGTCCAAAAAGCGTCCCTTTAGGTCAAAAGCGGTTTTAGATCAGCTAGAGAACAGCGATAGTAAATCAGGACCACTTGCAGAATTGAGTGATAATGATTCGTGGGGAAATTCGTCATCAGACATTGAAAACAATTTTGCGACTTTGCTCAGTGATGTGCGAACTTGGCACTCTATTTCAAATTTCAGTGTTTTTGGTTTGATTATATTATTGAATTAAATGTATGATTTAGAATCTTGTTCAGACAGATTTCAGTGAGTTATTCCTAAAAATTACAGCCTACAATAAAAAAACTACATATTTCCATGCAAAATAATGGTACCGCTTTCAGCACCAAAAATCGGAAAGAATCATACCGCCAGGGAGGTTAAAAGTTCCCGCCAACCTGGCACATAGATGTGGCCTCCCAGAGGCTTTAACCCACCCACGTCTATTGGTAAACGCTTTACGAGGACCGTAAAGCTCACTATACATATTTGCGATCGTGAGCATTCAAACCATGTGACTGCTGTGACTGCCAATTACAACGGTCATGTGCTTGGAATGTCTGCCTCCACCTCTTGGCATTTAGATCCATTTAAAAGGCCTGAAGGAGGAGCCAGGAAGGAGTTAACAGTGTATTAAAATCAGGTAATCAGGCTGGATATGTCTAGCAGGACTGTGTAAATCTCAGGACTGGACAGGCATAAACCTTTGACAGATAAAGCAGCTCTCCTGTATGCAGGGGCGGACTGACCATTTGGAAACTCGGGGCACTGCCCGAGGGTCCGGGGTCAGTAGGGGCCCCATGAGATGCCCCTGGTACCTTTTTCATAGACTTTTTTGAGTTTGGGCAAGGACACAGGGGCCCCATGATCCCCTATTGCCCAGGGGCCCCATGAGTTGTCAGTCCGCCCCTGCATGTATGTATCTAAGATTTGTGTATATTGGTGTCCTTTTATGAAACAGAGATCAGTGGTGATCCTAAGGACCTTCACTGATCTCCGATCATTAGTGGTTTAGGAAACAGAGATGATCAGCAGAGAACATATCCTCCGCTGATCATCTCAGCACACAGATGGCCAGTATATGAAGGAGTGATGTCAGCCCTTCACTGGCAATCTGTGTTCTCCCTCCAGATTCTCCAGCACAGAGCTGGAGAATCGGGGGAACTGCAAACAAAGCAGCAATAATTTAGCGCTGCTTAGTAAACGGTGTTTGACTGATCTCTTACTGTAATCTCGCGAGATTACAGTAACAGCAGCCGTTTTCTAGCAATCAAAGCGTTTGTAGATCGCTTCTCTCCTCATTAGGAGAAGCAGTCCACACCACTTAATAAAAAGGCATTCAGGGGAAAACTCTCTCCTATGAGAACGCCGGAGAACTGAGCCGCGGTCATTTACCGCTGCATGATAAAAGGACACCATAGCTTTTTACTTTGCATTTAGCTTTGAATTCCTGTCGTCTTTGCCAAATAAGTAGCAGTGGAAAAATCATGTATTTTTTTCTTTAACACTGTTGCAAAAAGGTACATAGAAGCTGCTCTTTTCTTGATTTCCTTTAGTACTTCATAGGTTAAGACTATTTACATTAAAAAAAACAGATCGTAAAGGGGAATTTCTACTTCACTTACAAGATAAATAAACTCTTAGGTCCACACAAAATTTGCTAGTGTTGGTCTGCCTGAATGACAGTGGTAAAGGTATACAGCTGAATGTCCCTTTAGGGATGGATGTGAATACATCATTCTGCTCTGTAAATTAAATTAAAATATGCTGATGCTACAGAAATGCCTAAAAATATTTGTTAGCCTATGTACTGCATGTAAACTTACCATTGCTTTTCTCTACAGTCAGTGACTATGTTTATAGTGTACTTTAGTTAAAAAGGACATGCACAGTATATTAGAGTACTACAAAATAAATTAGACAATATATACCCCATTGTACTTATACTATTATTATTATATTATACAGGATGTATATAGTGCCGACAGTTTGTTCAGTGCTTTACAATATAAAACTACACCTTTATAAAAGTTTTTAGAAATGTTCATTTTTTACATACATTTATGTATTGATTTATTTACATGCATAGGTGTCATATTTTCCAGTTTTACTCCTCTGTCAGCAACTACCTAATACATATGGCACCTCACATTTTATTTTTTTATTTAAATCAAAATTATTATTATTATTATACAGTATTTATAAAGCGCCAATAGTTCGCTCAGCGCTGTACATTACAAAGGAGGACAGAACATGTGACAGAACAATACCAATACAATGTAAAACATGAGGGGATCGAGGGCCCTGCTCTTTCGAGTTTACAATCTAAATCTTGAAACATTAAGACTTTGATAATCACCTTTAACTTTTTTTTAATTCTATAACTAAAACACTCTTGATCTCCAAAAATATTTGATGTTGACTATGCTGTGGTTTTGTTAAACAATAATTTATTTGTGGGCACTTACTGTGTCATCTATTGTTTATAAAAAATACATTGTTGTTTTTTTTATTATGTTTTTGCATTTTAAATATGTTTGCATTATGAAGCTGGTTAATTGTATGCTCATAGTGTCTTGGAATATTAATTAAAATTAGTGTTAAATTCTAAATGCAATATCTCTTCTCACTAGGGTCTCTGTTCTTCAGTGTTATTTATCTCTTGTGATCATTTTCGTGTAATGAATAGCAAACCCTCTGCAAGAAATGTCTCTGCCTGTGAAATCTCTTTACATGTTGAGCTACGCCTCCATTTAAAGTTTTTTTAATGCCCTCCCCTATTGACAAACCTGAAATCACACTGCACATCTGTTTTTCTAAGGAGGAGACTGAGGGAAGGCTTTTCAGTCACACATATCAGTTTAACAGTGTTTGACACATAGCACAGCTCAGATTATCACAGGGAGGCATCCAAGGCTGAGCTAAAATCTTACTCCAATTGCCAAACAGCAATGGACTGCAACAACTCCGGAGGAAACCTAAGCTCTAGATCCCTGCTGCCTCCTGCTTTGCTTCCTCCAGTGCCTCCTCCACCTCTTTCATGTTCATCAGCCATGCCAGTGCCACCATCAGTACCAATGCCTGCCTCATTCCTTAGACCCCCAACTCTCCTGCTGCGAGCTGCCCGCTGCAGCTGCTGCAGCAGCCTGTACTCCCAGGATGACTTTAGACAGAGGAACAGGTGGAGCAGTGATGTACCCAAGAACACCAAAATGCGCACGGTGCCGCAATCATGGAGTGGTATCAGCACTTAAAGGGCACAAACGTTTTTGCCGCTGGAGGGATTGTGCATGTGCCAAATGCACCTTGATTGCAGAACGCCAACGAGTCATGGCTGCACAGGTGGCCCTCAGAAGACAACAAGCCCAAGAAGAATGTGAAGCCCGAGGTGTGCAACATTTCATGTACTCAGGACCAGGAACAAATGGAGGAGAAACCATAGGACACAAAGCACCAGTAGCACAAGTTCCCAGTCAGCTGGAGAATAAAGGTAAGCAAAATATATATTTGCAACAACAACAAAAAAAAAACTTTATTTTTGATCTAGAGAATATCGCTGAGTGTATATTCACTTTAAATTTCTGGTCCAGCAGAGAAAAAAAAATTATATAATTGACGTATTATTTGTAAACATAAATTATATTAATATATAATAAATGGCTTTAGAATGAAAATTAAATTTGATAATATTTACTATATTATAAAGTTATTAAATTCTGTTCAAGATTATTTAAACTTTGGCATAATTATGAAATTCACCACTTTACATTTTTCTATGTTATGTAACAAGAAAATGATAGGCAAGCTAATTAATTAAAATTCACCATTTTTAATTAACATGACAAGTAACAAAATATATATGAACAGAAGTTGTGTATGAAAAAATCTAATACTATTATTATAATACAGGATTTATATAGCGCCAACAGTTTGCGCAGCACTTTACAAAATGAAGGCAGACATTACAGTTACAATACAATTTGGTACAAGAGGAAACAGAGGGACCTGCTTGTTAGAGCTTAATACCAGGGGCGGACTGACAACTCATGGGGCCCCCGGGTCATAGGGGATCATGGGGCCCCTGTGTCCTTGCCCAAATTCAAAAAAGCCTATGAAAAAGGTACCAGGGGCATCTCATGGGGCCCCCTACTGACCCCGGGCCCTCGGGCAGTGCCCGAGTTTCCAAATGGTCAGTCCGCCCCTGCGTAATACTATGTATTAAAATCTAATATACCTTACATAGATATATCCAAAATTTGTGAACCTCTCATAGTAAACCAAATGTTACATTATTTTATCTCTGTTACACTTACATTGCACTATTTTATCTCTGTTCAACAATTCAACAAGTCTATATTGTCTTAAACCCGACAGTCAAGTTTTTTTTTGTTCAGATGTCTTAATACCATGCTGAATATTTCATAGCACGCATAACACAGAACATTCAATAAACTGACAAATTTATAGTAAATCAGCTTCTCAGAATTTCACTCATTTGTATAGTATAATCATTATTATTTATATTGATTATTATATGTATTACTATGCATCATTGTGAAGGTATCTACTTTATAGCAATTTGAAGATCGTATTTGTTAGAAAAAGTTAGTCCCTGTAAGGAAAAATAGTTTTGTGACATTACCAAATACATTCCAGTTGTACCAGATATACTTTTTTATTTTCCTTTTTTATTTTAAATGGCAAAGGATAAAAAAAATGTAAACAGTTTTACACAATAATAATACAGCTGTACATTTGTATAACAGTTTATACCTAATTATAAAGTTGTTGATTTTTGAAGTATGTTAATTATCACTATTCTTTGACAATTCTATTTGTTTTATACATTTTAACAAATTTATAATTAGCATTTTACACACACTTTGGAGGGTTACCAAAGCAAATATATCATACCAGTAAATAATGTGTTTGCAATTCAAGGTGAGTGTTTTAAACAAGTTTATACACATCTACATGTTACAAATTTTGCCCCAAAATCACAGTGTGGTCAACACATTTTTCTATTTCTCTTTCAATCAATAAGATATTTGCAGTACTTGCTGTAGTCTAGTGGCAGTATTGAGAAAATAGGAGTTACTAGGGGCAATACATTTTGGCAATCAATGTGTGCACTTTTCAAGGTGTAGGTGTTTTAAACATGTTTAGAAATGTATACAAGTAATAAATGTCACCTAGAAAATCACATCAACCTTACAGCAATAAATAAGACATGCATAAATAAGAGATGCAAAGCGCTTGCTTTAGTCTAGTGGAAGATTTTTGCCCCTTAGCAAAGTTCCCACCAAACAAATGATAATAATTTCAAATGTTCTTTGAGCCACATTCTTGTTCTTTAATTTGAATTGCAAAAACAAAAATAGTTATTTTTTCCTACTTCTGATTGTAAAAAGTCTGGAAATGGTAAATAGTAAACACTTTTTAAAAAAGCAATTAAATTTACAGCAATGACATTTACCATATAAATTGCTACAACAATAATTAGCATATGATGCAACCACCTATTAGGACTATATTTTATTATTAATACTACACAATTCTATATAAATTGACTGTTGTAAGTAAGGCTCTAAATAAATGTAGATAATCTGTGACTTCAATTACTAAGCTAAAAAAAGAAATGGCAACCTTAATATAAATGCATATGAACCTAAATAATTCTATTTAAAACAGAGAAATGTATTTACTAAAGCTGGTTCACTCAGAATCTTGTGCACCTGTGCATGGTAGCCAATCAGCTTCTAACCTCAGCTTGTTCAATTAAGCTTTGGCAATAAGGCTAGGTTCACATATGTGCGGGTGGTGCCACTGCGGATCCGCACAAAAATCTGTGCAGCTGCACCATCCACACAAAAGAATGCGGACCCGCGAGCGGGTGTCCCGGGGCACGGGAGACCATTCAAATTAATAGGCTCTTGTGCCTGCGCAAAACACGGCCCGCAGGAACGCAGATATGTGAACCAGGGGTAAAACCTGGAAGCTGATTGATTTCTGTGCACATGATTCTGAGTGAACCAGCTTTAGTAAATAAACCTCATAATATTTATTACACTTTTAAACTAAAAGAAAGTTTCAGAGGGGTTCAGACTTCTCCTGACTTGTAGAAATCATTTCTGCAGAACATCCGGTAAGGAGAACCGTATAGCTTTTTTTATAAATAGGAACAATATTAAAACAGAATAAATGAAGGAATTAGAATGTTAATGTGTTAATGATATGCATACTATTATTTTTATTTCAGTTCTAAAACACATCTGCACAGGCATTAAAAAGCTACTATGGGATTATTCACACTTGCTTGTTTTCCTGTATAGTTTGAATTTCAAGTAGAATTTGCATTTCTGTTTATTTTAATGCATATGCATCAGGAAAAATCTTTTCACTAGATGCTTCACATTGTGTAATGGCAATGGTACATAAAAAAATACACATAAATTCACAAAAGCATGGATACATTCTTGCAGTTATGGATGTCAAAACCTGTTGTGGTATAGAAGGCCTTATAGCAAATATGGATTATATGTGACAAGCAGGGGCGGACTGAACGCAGCAAAACTATTGGATGCACTACTTTACAAAATGTACAGCACCCAGATTGCATTGCACTCAGGGGCGGACTGACCATTTGGAAACTCGGGCACTGCCCGAGGGCCTGGGGGGGTCAGTAGGGGGCCCCATGAGATGCCCCTGGTACCTTTTTAATAGGCTTTTTTGAGTTTGGGCAAGGACACTGGGGCCCCATGATCCCCTATTAACCGGAGCCAATGAGTTGTCAGTCCACCCCTGGTGACAAGATCACAGTGTTACAAAGCTGGCTGAAACATTGCAGAAATCCCTTTACCCTTTAAATAATCTATGCCACTGCCAAGTAATCAGCAATCAAGGACCTTTCATTTAAAGGGCACTCTGGCAAACAGTAACTGCTGCATGGCAGACTCTTTGACACTGCTGTTTATGTGTACACTACACATAATTATTTAGAATCACAGTACAAAGTTTCTATTATAATACAATACACAAACTGAACTAAAATGTTACTTGACGTTTTAAATAGAAAATCAGTGCATGTCCAGTGGTTTTGTCATGGGCAATAAACGATATAATTGTTAGAAATCGAGATTTACTAAAATTTATACTGTATATATATTTACATATGTAACTATGTAAATGTATGTATATATATATATTTAAGGGGAAAAAATTATATATATATATATATATATATATATATACTGTATGTGAAGGGAGTGCCAAGACAAACACAGAGCAATTATATGATCTATTTTTTTCATGTATGCAGAGTGCCAGGTATTCTGAATGTTATACTGAATGACTCCCATCTTTAAACTCAGCAAAAAAAAAGAAGAGTACAGACACACAATCTCCCTATGGGAAACCTGCAGTGAGAGAATATAGAGGCTGCATCTATTGACCTCTTGCCTGGTTGTCATGCTGTTCCAGTGGCTTTGGCACTTTTTAAACCACTGTCCTGGAATGCAAGTGTTGTTAAGAGTTTCTGACTTTACTTGATCATTGAAATATGAATCCTTATTCCAGGCCAGTGAAATCGGAGACAGCCAGGCAACTAGTATTCTTAAGTGTAAGCCTACATATTTCTCTCACGATGGGTTTTCTCTAATGTACTGGCTTTAAAAAAATATTATTTTTAGTTTTTATTCAAACACACATACAAGTCTCCTAATTATATGCATGATGAAGTGTTTCAAACTGAACCATAGCATTAGGCATCTTTATTTTTAAATGTATGTTGCTGTTACTGGCAGTGGTGGCAACACAAAAATTGGCTCCCCTCCCCACGGGGAGACCTGACACTGACCAACACCCCCCTCCCCCACGAAGATAGCCTGACGTTAGCCAACAACACCCCAGCCCCACCCCTACCCAAGAGAGCCTTCCACTACCACTGCCCCCCATACACTGGCATACACTGGCAACCTCCCCCCACCCCAGCAATAGATAAGACACTCACCTTTACAGCTCTGGACATCCCCAGGAACAAGAGTCAGGCTCTGCATACACCATCAAGCAGCCCACAGCCTCTCTCAGATCCCACCTAGTCTCCATGCTGCCTGTGTCCCTTCTTCCTTTCCTTCTTTTGGGGGGGGCGCTGCCCCCCTGAAAAATGCTGCTGCCCCCCCTGAAAAATGCCACCCTAGGCAAATGCCTTGTTTGCCTTGTGGTAAATACACCCCTGGTTACTGGGTAAGCAGAGGTTTAATGACCTTTTATTTATTTCCCCAACATTTTGCCAGAAAATTGCATTAAATCAGAACAGTTTGTACCTTGCTCTGGGTCTGGACATTGCAGATCATGATTTAACATGTGTGTGTCTAGCAAAAATGTTGTATTACGTTTTTTTTCTAAATATTGAACTGTTGAATATCTATGTACTCCTTTGATGATGATTTACCTTTAATATTTTTTCCAATTACTTGCTAACTGGTAAAATATATAATAGCAATACTTACTATCATATTAATAAATACTATTGTTCTTATACATTTTCCAAAAGCCTATTTTTAAACTAACCAATAGTGGAAATATTAGAGAAACTGTTACATATTAGTAAAATATTCCATACTGAAGGTTAAAACAGACATATCAGAATCTTTAAAAAATGTGTGTCACACCAGAATCCAAATGTAAGCCAAAGAGGTATTTTAAAAAATTTTATTTCATTTTTTCTAATATTTTGAAAATATAAATACAATAATGGTATTTTATACCTAAAGTTTACAATGGGGTTGATTTACTAAAGGCAAGTGCACTGCAAGTGCAGTTGCTCTAGATTTCAGGAGAAGCTCTGAAATGAAGGGAAACTCTGCTGATTTCTATCATCCAATCACGTGCAAGCAAAAATGCAGTTTTTTTTTCTTGCATGTAATTGGGTATTCTAAGTGAAGATTTACCTCATTTACTAAGCTCTGGAGCAGGTGCGCTTGCAGTGCACACTACATTTGCCATTAGTAAATCAACCCCAAACTCTATAAATAAACAGTAAATAAACATTGCTCAAATTTTTCACAAATATTATCACTGAATGTTAATGTATAATCAGGGTAAAACCTCATTTTTTGACGCCTTTCATTTTTGCAGAATGCTCATCCAATAATATTGATCAAAACTAAGCCAAGCAATAGATGAATTTATATGTAGACATCGTTGTCAGAGAGTAGATGTGGTCCTACAGTTAGTATGAAGAATCCCTAGAAAGGCAATACAAGTTATGGGATGGGCACACAC